ACAATGTCATGAAGTTTGTAGCCGAGGATAACATCCTGTACAGACAGCAATAATGTGTTTTCGTATTTGATACAATAAAGCTTTTCTACTTCTGACCAAATGGGTTTTACAATGTCACAATAATAAAAAAAATGTTCAACATAGTCCTATTAAAGAACTATTAGTAAAGTCTTCGTTCATTTGTTCATTCAATCATTCATTCATTCTTAGAGGTAGAAAAACAAGAAGGCCTTGTGTCTTTTAGCTCCATGATTCATTCAAGAAAATCGGGAAAAGGGGTGATACAAACTTAGCCACGTTTGGGACCGCATTTGTCTAATGGCAGCGCCACCTGCCGACGAGGAGTACATATCTTTATTCTTCAGTCATTATTATTGCGTTTGGGATCGCATCCGTTTGTACATGAACAAGTCAGTATTGCCCAGAAGAGGGTGAAACGTCTGTATGTGAAAAACTTTCCCTTTTTTTGAAGAAAAAGAACTTTTCTAACCAATAAAAATCACTCTGATGAAGCTGCTTACTGTATTCTAAATCTCATTAATAAACAACTGTACATCACATCACATCATGCACATCATAGACTGTCCAGGCATTGTTAAAAACAGAGTAACCCTAGTGGGAACAATTGAATAGGAAACATAGGAGTACTTGGAAAGGCATTGATTTAACCGAGTAATCTGCTTTTGATGGGTAGCTGGGGTTGGTCTATCGGAGGACAAGCTTACTCTGTTGAACATTTTTTTCAGGAACTTGAGCGGATACGCCCTATCAAAACACAGCTGCCCGTGCAGGGATGTTATATTACACCACTTTGAACCTGAACGTGAGACCTACAGACCGACCGTGACAGTTGACACAGCCAGTAACAGTACGGTCAGGATTTGTCACGTCTTTTTAACCTCGAACGTGAACCCTGTACGTGCTCTCTCTGGGTTGGGGAGTATTACTTTTCGCGTTGTTGTCACAAGCGTAGTTCAGTTACGTGATTTTTTTTGTTGTTATGAATAGTGTGGTTACCTTCATCATACGATTTATTACCCTGTTTTTGTAGGATATATACTTTTAGCAAGGTTATAACCATCGACAAGGATTTACAGCTATTTTTGTGTCAGGAGACAACTAAAATGTGCACGACACGCTACGACTGTCCCACGAATACTGGAACAAGAATATTGTCCAAATTTGCTGTAGTATATATAACCTATCGTAGGTCTGTGACCAGGCCCTAATCATAAGAGATATTTGCATTCTAGAAAATGTATAAAATCTTCTCCCTGAGCGTCCTGTCGCTTTCGTCATACGATCGTCATACGATCGTCATACGATCGTCATACGATCGTCATACGATCGTCATACGATCGTCATACGATCGTCATACGATCACAAACGACGCAAGCATTATTGGGATACTGAGTCGCCGTACGCAAATGTCGTGCAAAATCTGTCTGTCGCGGAAAAGTCTTGGAGCCAAAGTGTCAGCGGTTGGTTCCATCACGACCTGCTTGAAATTTAAACTTTAACGACGTCAAAGTCTCACGATGTATGGCCTGATAACGCGTGTGACCACACCGAAAGGAGTAATTATGATACGTTATTTATAGAATTAATATACAGTCAATGGATAAAAATGCGTTCACTCAGCATCCCAATATTAATGTATGAACAATCAACTCTATTCATAAAATTCGCTGGCGCTGCTCCTATTCCTGAACACTACGCAATTCTGACTAGGACATATTGCCAGCGTGACGTGCTGCCGACTTCCTAAGTCAAGGGCACTAAATTAAACCAGTGATTTCGGCAAACAAGTCGTTATAAAATTCGCTAGCGCTGTTCCTATTCCTGAACACTACGCAATTCTGACTAGGACATATTGCTAGCCTGACGTCCGACCGACTTCCTCAGTCAAGGGCACTAAATTAAACCTGTGATTTCGGCAAACAAGTCGTTAGAATGTTCAACACGTGATGACGCAAATGTCGGTGAAAAGACAAACATCAAATCAACGGTTACAGCAGGTGCTATTGTAGCTCAACTATTCATCATGTAGAACATGGGACGCAATGGTAAGTGTAGTTTGACAGGAAGAATGGACGAAATGACCCTAAGGCCACAGCAAGTAAATTTTATGGATGACATCCTCCGCAGACTCCAAATCTAATAAGAGCGGGCGAAAAAAAAACAAGACGAGCCGAAAATTTTTAGATTTTTACTCAATCATTGTACAAATGGTTTTTATTCATCAGTGGGAACATCACATATACACAACCAACATCACATATCACTGCATCAAAGTAAGAAACAAAACATTCAATCAGAGAATTTTCTTGTCTCCTCTATCGATCTCTTCATGAATATCTGCCATCCACCTTCCGGCATGGCAACAGACATCTTTGCCCAGTTTCGGCATGTAGACCACTGTCAGAAGGCAACAAAATTTCTTGCTTTTTTCCCAAATCAGGCGAAAATTAACGCGCGCGCTGATGTCATCCATAGAAATTACTTGCCGTGGCCTAACTCAAGGAAAAAAAAACAATATCCCGTTCCACTCTATGCAGAGCATAGGGGTGGTATCCATATCCATTTCCATAGCCCTTGGGCGACACACGGTTGTGCAGGGCACTACAGCAGGGGGCTAGTCCGCTGGTAGTGCTGTGTGTTTGACCTTCCCACACTCTTTCTCATAGATACTGAGTGCTAAGCAGAGAAAGAAGTGTGTACCATTTCTAAAGTCTTTGGTATGACCCGGCCGGGGTTTAAACTCACCACCTCCCGGTTACAAAACGAGCACTCTACCAATTGAGCTATTGCACCGAGCTTATAAAACAATATAACAGCGGCTATATCCGCAATAGACAGGTACGCTAAACAGTGGGGGAGGTTTAAAAACAAAGGTTTTCCATAGAGAGAATGGAGAGTATTTATTGCGATAAACACACAAGTCTGGACGTGGTGACACATTTGCGAGGCAAGGAGACACGAAGAGACTCCCGCTGTGGTAAGGTCCCGGCACGGAAGAACGTGCGTCTCAAAAGAAGTCTTGGGAGTAACTTAAGAGTAACTAAGGAACTGTGAATGTACGTCTGGGCCCAGCGTGACACTGTCAATGACATTCGGCCGAATTTGTTGGCCACCAGAAGGTCGTCAAATTTCCAAATGGTCGGAGAGTACGTAGAGCGTATTTTTTGTAATCTCCAAGCAGATCCTAGGGTGGCAAAGAGGCAGTTGCAAATTGGCCAGGTAGTATCCATTCGCCAGAGAGGGACCAATACGCCACCCAAGGCCTGGCCCAATTTGATACTAATTTTGAACAAAAAAAAGAAATTTTGTTGCCTTCTGACAGTGGTCAACATGCCGAAAATGAGCAAAGATGTCTGTTGCCATGCCGGAAGGTGGATGACAGATAACTATGAAGAGAGGAGACAAGAAAAGGCTCTGATTTAATGTTTTGTTTCTTACTTTGATGCAGTGATAGGTGATGCTGACTGTGTATATGTGATGTTCCCACTGAATCAAAACCATTTGTACCATGATTGAGCCAAAATTTTAAGTTGTAGGAACCTTTTTTTCGCCCGCTCGCATTAGATTTGGAGTCTGCGGAGGATGTCATCCATAAAACTTACTTGCTGTGGCCTTATTTGGGCTGAGCTGTTTTCTTGCTGTGTGTGACCGGCTTTCAGAACAACCATTGTGAGGAAATAGCGCGATCGCGATTCCTTACTTTACCGATATTTGTTCTGAACATGCCCCCTCACCGTGAAGAGGTCACGTGATGTAAAGATGTTAACCGTTGACCTTGGAAAAGAGCATCGTTGACCTTGACCGTTTGTGGGGCAAAACCAACAGGTTCTTGTTCGTGTTGAATCTTGTGTATTTAAGGTTTGTTGTACAAAAAAAAACACGCTGTATTCAAAAGAACGCTGAATAAAGTCGCTCAACCCAAACAGCTTGTAGCATTCATAACTGCCATAAATCGGATGCAATATAATGTGGTACCATTGAATGCCCAGTATCATTAACTGTATAATATTTAAACATTGCAAATTTCGAACATCGCAGAGCCATGTGTAAACTTCGCATTAGTGACCATCCCTTACGTATAGAATCCGGCAGGCATAGCCGTACCCCTCTGAAAGATAGAACGTGCGAATTCTGTAATCATTTATATGTTGAAAACGAGATACACTTTCTACTTGACTGTACATTATATAAAGATGAACGCCAAGAAGTACTCGATATTTTACATTTAGACAAGATATGCAAGAAAATGTCAAAGCAGGACATGTTTAAACACTTGATGTCATGCAAGAAGGAATGTATAGCAGACAAACTATGTAATTATGTATCCAAATGTTTCAAAAAGAGAGAAGAAAGGGCATCTTACAGTAGATGATAGGCAATATATAGTATTGTTATAATGTATAAATTCCTAGCAAGTAGCATTAGAATATAGCGTCCCAGTATGCAATACTCATGTTTTGCATACTGCATATCCTCTTGTGCATTTAGCCCATCTGGGCAAGAACATGCAATAAAGATTCATATCATTAACTGTATAATTAACACGGCATGCGTATGCCATTATATTTGTGTCACGTCGGCTGAGCCATTTAAATAATGTTACAGATATGATTTTGAAATCTTAGTTTTCGAAAACAAACCAAGAAAATACATGTATATAGCCTAATATGGTTAGTTTAGAAATAGGATATCTAAAAGTATATGTCGGTCGCTATTCAGATGTACTAGATGTCTTATAATATTCTTGTACTTAGGTACCCTGTTGTAATCTTGAGCTCATTTTTTTTCTTATGTTCAAAATGAGTGAAAATAGCTTCTTCCTTTTCTTACAGAAATAAAGCACAAATTAATGTACGTAAGGTATATATATATATATGCCATCCTTAAAATTAAGAATTCGATATATCTTTCCCCACAGACAAAGCTAGCAGAAGTTTGGAGAATCGTCCTACTGCAAGGGTGTTTAATGGACCTCTTACCTTTCCGTGACGTCCTCGGTAACTTCTTGTAAAGTCGGCAGCAGAAGATACGCGCCCCGCGTCCACAACCCCTCAGAGAGCCCCTGCTTCCCCTCGGTCCTTTTCCCGGCTTTCTCTCCGGACATCCTTCTCCTAATCCTTCGGCGGAGGCGGAGAAACCTGCCGATGGAGCTTCTGGTAGCTCCCGGTGGTGGATTGGGCTCGCTCGACGGGCCTGCTGCTTTTGGAGTGTGTGTTCTCCTCTTCCCACGGCGTGTGGTGGGAACGCCAAACATTTCTCCTATCAGTCACGCTTCTAGTGCTTTATTTATCACGAAATGTAGAACACGCCGATGCTAGAACGTCGCTGCATACCTGTGTGTGGACCTGGTTTCCGCGTGCGACGTGTGCCGGCGCTACAGGTGTATCAGTACGGGCCCAGCCCGAAACATGGCGGTCAGGGAACCGTTTCTCGTATGTAAACACAACCACTGAAAGGCGCCACACAACACTGTTAATCCTTATCGCTGTGTGAAAAATCCGCCTGTATATTTTGTCACCATGTACAAAACACGGTTAAAAGGGTGCCCCTGTGTACCCCTGTTCTATGCGGGCAGTGGTGCATGCGACCGCCGCGGGGCGAAATGTTTGGACTGCCAGCGTTCATGATGTTTGTACGGGAGTTTCGCCCGGTGTTGTCAAAACCAAGCCGGTTACGGACGTTGCACTGCGTACCGTACCTCATTATTTCAGCATTAGGCCACACCAAGTAAATTTTATGGATGACGTCCTTTGGAGACCCTAAATCTAATGCGAGAGGGCGAAAAAAAAACAAGAAGGGCCCTAAAAAACAAGATGCCTAGATTAGAAATATACTAAGAGACGACAAATGTTAGGACACAAATTGAATGAGGTGACACAGTGTAACAAGCAAGAAGTCTTTTATTCATCATCAAAACAGCAATAAATCAGGTGGAACAGCAGTTGTCGTCCTGTCCTGTTTTCGCGTCACGGGTTCCACGTCAATCTCACGATTTGCGGCACTGTCTTGACTCTTTGGTCATAGTTACAGGATGCGGAATTTCTTGGGGTTTTTTTTTTGTAGGAACAGGCCAAAATCAATGCACGCGCATTGATTTTCGCCTGTTCTCAAAAAAAGAAAAAAAGATCACGTCCACCGAGGCTCTGGCCTGGCTCTAGGCCTGGGTAGTCCATGGTAGTTAGCGGCAATACGGAGCCGGGCACCCAGGCTACCGAAGCTCGACGACTCAAGAACGACATACGTACAGTGCCGATTCATCTGCCGGCTACGTCGCTATGTACTACCGCAAATTAACAATACCAACTTTGTATTCCTGTGGTTTAGTAGCATTTTTATTTTTGGCCGAATTTTTTTTATTCGCCCGCGCGCACTAGTTTGGGGGTCTTCAGAGGATGTCATCCATAAAATTAAGACGGTGTGGCCCTACGTGTTGGTAGTGTCGGCTTTGTGAGGTTATAGGGTCGAGTTGGAACAACTGTGGGGCAAACAGTACACACAGGAGTCTGTTTAAACTTACGGTGTAACGTTAGTGTTGTTGTAAATCGGTGTGAGTGAGTGAGTGAGTACGTGAGTGAGTGAGTGAGTGAGTGAGTGAGTGAGTGAGTGAGTGAGTGAGTGAGTGAGTACGTGAGTGAGTGAGTGAGTACGTGAGTGAGTGAGTGAGTGAGTACGTGAGTGAGTGAGTGAGTGAGTACGTGAGTGAGTGAGTGAGTGAGTACGTGAGTGAGTGAGTGAGTGAGTGAGTGAGTGAGTGAGTACGTGAGTGAGTGAGTGATTGAGTGAGTACGTGAGTGAGTGAGTGGATTGGTTGGTGGGTGAATAAGTGAGTGAGTGAGTGAGTGAGTGAGTACGTGAGTGAGTGAGTGAGTGAGTGAGTGAGTACGTGAGTGAGTGAGTGAGTGAGTGAGTGAGTGAGTGAGTGAGTACGTGAGTGAGTGAGTGAGTGAGTGAGTGAGTACGTGAGTGAGTGAGTGGATTGGTTGGTGGGTGAATGAGTGAGTGAGTGAGTGAGTACGTGAGTGAGTGAGTGAGTGAGTGAGTGAGTGGATTGGTTAGTGGGTGAATTAGTGAGTGAGTGAGTGAGTGAGTGAGTGAGTGAGTGCGTGAGTGAGTGAGTGAGTGAGTGAGTGAGTGAGTGAGTGAGTGAGTGAGTGAGTACGTGAGTGAGTGAGTGGATTGGTTGGTGGGTGAATGAGTGAGTGAGTGAGTGAGTACGTGAGTGAGTGAGTGAGTGAGTGAGTGAGTGAGTGAGTGAGTGAGTACGTGAGTGAGTGAGTGAGTGAGTACGTGAGTGAGTGAGTGAGTGAGAGAGAGAGTGAGTGAGTGAGTGAGTACGTGACGTGAGTGAGTGAGTGAGTGAGTGAGTGAGTGAGTGAGTACGTGAGTGAGTGAGTGAGTGAGTGAGTGAGTACGTGAGTGAGTGAGTGGATTGGTTGGTGGGTGAATGAGTGAGTGAGTGAGTGAGTGAGTGAGAGTGAGTGAGTGAGTGAGTGAGAGAGTGAGTGAGTGAGTGAGTGAGTGAGTGAGTGAGAGAGTGAGTGAGTGAGTGAGTGAGTGAGTGAGTGAGAGAGAGAGTGAGTGAGTGAGTGAGTGAGTGAGTGAGTGAGTGAGTGAGTGGTATGCTGACGTTTCAGGATTTAATTGAGGCAGACGTAGACATTTGGGTTTTCGTTATGTTCAACTTTATTATTTCTACTCACAATGCAGATACAATATGTACATCCCATTTTAAAGCCCCTCGGTATAGGCTATTCAATATATAACCGCTCAAACCATTGAAGTAAAGAAATTCACCACTCTCAAATAAGGTATCCAAAGATCAATAAAACAAATAATTAAAGGCAGATCAATCAATAGTTTGATTTGTAGATACAGAAACACATCAAAAAAATTATACAGATAAATATGACAGAGGAACACCACCAGAAATGAAGTATGCATTTACGTACTGTACTGGTATGTTGCTTCATGACAGTTTTTGTGACAATGAAGGCAGTCATAAACCGGTTAATGGCGTCCTCTACCGGGATACATACAAACTGCACCTTATATACATTATGATTAAAACATATGTGAAGAATTACAGTTTTCTAACAGTGGTCTACGGACGTTGTTACAGAACTGTTTCTGATTTAGACCTATTGACCTGCACAATCTAGTATTAGATTTCAGGGTTCCCAGAAACCATTTTTAAGCCAAGTTTCTGTGTAAGAAAACGTGCTTATAAACGTGCTTATTCCCTACACGTACACATTGTACCCATTGTCAATGGCACTACAGCAACAACTTGGTCTGTAACAACACCAGTACATAGTCTGCAGTAACACAGATACCGCTGATCCTACAAGCACTACACTTAAAAAAGGGTCGTCAAACCAGGACACAGTCTCCTTGTACGAATACCAGACTGATACCATCGCTATGTTACCAGCCAACATCAGTAGGCTGTTTAGGACAGGCTGTATCTTACTCCGCTGTCTGGACCCAAACGTGATCCAGGTGAACACATCTACAGGAGCCACAACAAACGTGTTAAACATGAACTGCATACAACGGTTACTGTTGGAGAGCACGTCGGCTCCTGACTCCATGTAAGCCTTGCCTCCGCGAAAATATTGGCAGAACACATTCTCTACCACTGCCATGACTAGCCAGTGAATACCGGCCATCACAAACACCCAGTATCGATAGATGGAAGCGAAGAGGCAGAAAGCTAAGATCCGTGCCGCCAGGTCGATGCTTTTCCACAGGCAGACAAGCGTCCCCCAGGCAACGGCCCTGATCTTGGGGAAGCTCGTCTCCCACTCGATGATGGAGTAGAGCGAGGCTACGAAGGACAGAGCCATGGTAACGGCCTTCAGGGTCGGTATCTCGAGGTTACTCAGCTCGCCGCTTCGGAGGAGGACGTAGATCTGTAGGCAGATTTCCGGGAGGGACTCCAGCAGGGTGCCGACGAGCCGGGCCAGCGGGAGGAGGTGGTTCACGGCGCGGGCCACGGGCTTCTGGTCGTCATGGTCTTCTTTCTCACGGGCATCCAGGATGTCCCCAGGATCGTGTTTGCAACGGAAGAAAGCGTACAGGACCTGGAGGTATGCAAAAGTTCCATTCATTATAAATGACATACGGTTATCAGCCTATGGTATATATTACTCACAGAAGAAAAGGACACAACCGTAAGTGTTAACATTACAAGTTGGATACATCACATATTAGTTGAAAGTTACAAATAAAGTCAATGACCTGGACCAGACGTCTGTCACCATGGTAACAGGTGCCATAGCAACACCCTGTGGTGTTGGTCTACATTATGTAACAGAACAGAGTTGGAGAGCCTGCCCACCATAAATATGAAATGTTTTGCAAACGCTACGAGATTTCACAAACTAAATACTGCGTCACAGGTTCCGCCCCTAAGGCGTCGCCAACAAAAATTAGGACGAACACTAAGGCCACAGCAAGTAATATTTATGGATGACATCAGCGCGCGCATTGATTTTCGCCTGATTTTGGAAAAAAACAATAATTTTTTGTTGCCTTCTTACAGTGGTCAACATGCCGAAAATGGGCGAAGATGTCCGTTGCCATGTCGGAAGGTGGATGGCAGATAACTATTAAGAGAGAAGACAAGTAAAGGCTCTGATTTAATGTTTTGTTTCTTACTTTGATGCAGTGATATGTGATGCTGGCTGTGTATATGTGATGCTCCCACTGAATCAAAACCATTTGTACAATGTTTGAGTCAAAATTTAGGAACCTTGTTTTTTCGGCCCGCCTTGTTTTTTTTTCGCCCGCTCGCATTAGATTTGGAGTCTGCAGAGGATGTCATCCATAAAATTTACTTGCTGTGGCCTAATTAAAATAAACTTCGAGTTGCCATACCTGGAGGTAATTGGCCGGAACGCCGATGGGAAGCAAATAGTACCACTTGCATCCGTCCAGGTACATCAGGAAGATGTTGACAAATATCTGCGGCACCAAGGCGAACCCCAACGTCAGGCCGAACCAGTAGTAATCTCCGTTACTGTAGTACTCCGCCGCCAGGACGACGTCGGTCACGAAGTCGGCGATGTAGAGAGCGAACCCCGCCAGCGTCCTGAGGACCAGCCAACCGCTCAGGAAACAGTGACACATCGTGGCCTTCTGTTGGAGATCTGTAGAAATGAACATACACACCATTGCAAGTTAGAAACATAATCACAGCGCGAGCACATGTAGGTAGAGATATGCTCTGTATTTTTTATTACCTCCATGAAAAATGGAGGTATTTGTGTGTGTGTGTGTGTGTGTGTGTGTGTGTCTGTGTCTGTGTGTGTGTGTCTGTGTGTGTGTCTGTGTATCTGTGTGTTTCAACACATTTGTAGTCAGCATAACTTTAGAACGCCTTTATGGATTGTGATGATATTTAGTATGTTGGTAGGTTGCAGGAAGACAAAGGTCAAGGTCAAGTATGGGCCTCCTGGTGGTATATTTCATGGAGGTATGAGATCTCCGAATTCTTGTTTTCATTGATTTTTTTTCGCAATGAAATAATCCCCCAAAATGGACCATTCAGAAATCCCGAGCCCTCCCCCGGTACGTGCCTTTATTATCATAGTGACACAGAACTTCAGAAGCCTAACACCGATATATACGCAGGCCAAATAAGATGGATATTCTACGTCCCTGCTCGGCTAACTCATGTATGTGCACATACACTAACACATGTGTTTATACATGACTAACGTATGTATGTGCACACACACATTAACTCAGTATGTGTACATACACTAACTCATGTACTGCATGTGGTGGGGTCGTGTGGCGCAGTCGGTAGTGCGTTCGGCTCACACCCCAGAAGTCGCGGGTTCATGTCACCGATCTTGTGCCCTTGGGAAAGGCAATTTACACGAATTTCCTCACTTCACTCAGGTGGAAATGAGTACCTAGCTTCGGTAGGGACGTCCCTCGGATAGGACGTTACATGGAGGTCCCGTGTTTGGGAGAGCCACACCCCACACCCCACGCACGTTAAAGAACCCACCACACTTATCGAAAAGACTAGGGGACCTTCCCGGTGTGAATGGTTCAAAACCTTACAGTCTGGTCTTACGCAGCTTGTACATGTACGCACATGTACAAAACTGGTGACAGGTGTATTACGCCTAAAGGCGATTTACCGGTTATGCGAAACAAACAATACACTAACTCATGATCAGGTGTACTGCATGACACTAACTCGGGCATGTCTAAGCACGTCATACACAACGACTCATGTATGTGCACATGTATTTACACGGTGGTATTTACACAATATACACTCATGTATGTACACAATACACTAACTCATGTATGTACACAATACACTAACTCATGTATGTACACATTACACTAACTCATGTATGTACACAATACACTAACTCATGTATGTGCAGAGTCTACCGTAAATTTCGAGCCGAAGTGAATTTGTAATGTTTAGCCGACCGTGGTATAACCACCCCTCAGCGTGACATACAAGTGTAACTAACGGTTAACAAACTCTGACACAAACGAGCTTGTTCGAACATGTTTTGCTTTAACAAAAGATACCCACCTTTTGCTTGACAATTGAAGCTGCAGTAGTCTAGTCTTCTCGTGATGACAGGTAGACCCCCACTGAGAGAAAATCTGTGGATAATAAATTATATAATCTAGTTATGTCTAGTTTCGGTCGGTATAGTCACTGACAAACAGCCAATCAGGCCTTGCCATTTCATCACGTGACCGAAACTAGGACGAAGTCCCTATGACATAACCCGTGTGACGTAACGGGAGTTTCCAAAAAGAACAATCGAGAATATATGACATTGGGGATTCCCCTTACGTCACTCGGGAGTGCTAATATTTTTTAGAACGTGGCTATATACACTCCCGGAGTGTATATAAAATCTATTTGTCTTTTATATACACTCCCGGAGTGTATATAAAATCTATTTGTCTTTTATATACACTCTGGGAGTGTATATAAAATCTATTTGTCTTTTATATACACTCCGGGAGTGTATATAAAATCTATTTGTCTTTTATATACACTCCGGGAGTGTATATAAAATCTATTTGTCTTTTATATACACTCCCGGTGTGTATATAAGATCTATTTGCTTTTATATACACTCCCGGAAAGTTGATAGGGCATTCGAATGATCTGTCGCCGGTGCGAAGACCGCGCGATCGGCTGTGTTATCCGGAGTCACCAAAGGGACCGGGGCGAACCCCGGGTTGGTCTTGGTCTGATAAATGCACGCCAGACCGTGAGGTCGGCGCTTCTTCCGCATGTATTAGCTCTAGAATTACCACAGTTATCCATGTAGGATGTGACGATCAAAGGAACCATAACTGATTTAATGAGCCATTCGCAGTTTCACTGAGACAGTTTAAACTTGCACGTGCATGGCTTAAACTTTGAGACAAGCCTATGACTACTGGCAGGATCAACCAGGTAGCGAGGACGCCAGGGGCGCGCGACCGGTCTCGGCGGGGCGGTCCGCTCGACCGAACTTCGGTGGAGATTTCCGTGTTGTTTTCTGATTTTCATCATCCAATAAGATAAACTTGAAGACCGAGGTTTAAACTTGGTGCCCCTGAATCCTCAAACACTCACAAAAACCCAAGTTTTGGGCCTACCAAGGAGGCTAGTATTTCGGAGTGTATATAAAATCTATTTGTCTTTTATATACACACCGGGAGTGTATATAGCCACGGCGTATTTTTTATACCCCAACAAACAATGAGTCATTGTGTAAGAAACCTTGCGCCACTCGGTGACAAACGCTAATAAGTGTATAGTTTATCCCCAATACAATGTTAGCCTCCATAGCACGCCAAAAACTGGGGGGGGGGGATCTTCAGGGTCTTTGGGATCTTTTATGCGCTATTTTCTGATTGCATATAGACAACATAGCCGGCCTGGATGAATTACCCCCGTTTTAGAACTGGGCTAATCAGAAAACAGCCGAAGACCACCAAACCCCCAGTTCTATAAGCCTGCTACGGAGGCTAATACAAAGTAGTCATCGTGTAAGACACCTTGCAAGATATAACAGGAGAATAATAAGATAAGTTTATTGCAAGTTCTTGCCCGTGGGCTAATTGCAAGTACATGTAAGTGGACATACAAAGAACAGACAATGTGTAACAATACAGCATGTAACTACTCTAGCCTAAATATTGGAATCTAATGTTTAACTCTAGTTCTAACTTATTGGGTTCGGCTTCTTTTTTCGAGAGACGTTCTTACATACTGTTGTTACTTTGGACTCTTGCTGTAAGACACAGCCCCCTCCCTCTCGGTTCTAAACTGTATTAATTTTACAATATTTCTGGGTTTACGTCCAAAACTTGACCACGTCTTACCACAGGAGCAAACCTACATGTGTACACGCATGTAAGATGGGGATTTTACGTCCCTAGCCCTGTCCAGGCCAGAAAAGGGGGCCTTAGCTGCGGTGTAGTAGTAGGCTACCGTCGGTTTTGAGCCGAAGTTAATCCATGTTATCTGTGTATAATCGCCTCTCCGAGTAACATAGAAGTATAACTGACAATTAACACACTTTGGCACAAAATTAGCTTGTTTGAAAACAAGATACGCACCTTTAGCTTGACAATTGACGCTGCAGTAGTCTTGTGTCGTCTCGTGTTGGCAGGTAGGGGCCCACTGAGAGAAAATCTGTGGACGATGATAATTAGATTATAATCTAGTCATGTCTGGTTTCCACTGGTTTCTTCCAGTATTGACAAACTGACAAGCAACCAATCAGGCCTCGCCATTTTATCACGTGACCGAAACCCATGTGACGTCACGGGAGTTTCCAAAAAGAACAATCGAGAATCTATGGCGACGGGGATTCCCCTTACGTCACTGTGGAATGCTAATACTGTAATTCCTGATTTTTTCACGGTACTGTTATGTTCACTGTTTTCACTGTCACCTCTGTACAGTGAACTTATCATTACAGTTAACAAATGATTCCTGGACTTTTCTTTTACCTGCACCTGTCGCCACCGTGAATATATAGTTCCGTGAACATATGTCCATTTTTCTCAGACCGTGAACTTTTGCTACCATGAACATAAAGTGAATTACAGAATGTTTTTACTAGTTTATCCATGGAGCTAGTTTATTCATACAACAAACAAAGGAGTCATATCCTGTAAGAAACCTTAAAAGATATAACAAGAGAATAATGTAGAGACGTTCTTATATAGAGTTGTTACTTTGTCTTTGGGCTGTTACTGATTTTATCTCACCAAAAAATGCATGTCACCGTGTAAGAAACCTAATATTAGTTATAAGATACATAGATATAACAGGAGAAAAACGGAGAGACGTTACTTTGGACCCTTGCTGTCAATACTGATCATTCATTAATAGCCCACATCATTTCAGAGTTTAGCTAATTAGGTCCAAGCCTTGATCATATGTTGACACAGGATCACAACTACATGTGTACACGCAGGCCTATTATAAGATGGAGATTTTACGTCGCCTCTGTTAGGAGATAACGTTACATGTAGGGGAGCTTAGCTGTGGTAAGTGCTACGGTTAAAGTAGGCTACCGTCGGTTTCGACCAGAAGTTATTTTTTTTATTCCAACATGTAATCACCAGACGTGGTGACGACACACTCAAGTTTTTTTCTATTAATGCCGCCACCAACACAGGGGACAAATACATGACAGGACAATACTCATTTACACCTGAGCTAAGTGAGGAAAGCCGTGTAAAGTGCACAGGATCGGTGATGAGCACAAGATCGGTGGCATGTCAGGGCTCGAACCCGGGACCTCTTGATTCCGAGTCGAGCACTCTGCCGCTACGCCACACGACCCCACACAGTTATTCCATGTATCTGTGTTGTTAAGTCGGTATAACGGCCCTCTCCGAGTAACATACAAGTATAACTGACAGTTAACCACACTCTGACACAAAAAAGCTTGTTTGAACACAAAATATACGCACCTTTCGGGGCAGAACTTGTGTCTTCCCGCGATGACAGGTAGACCTCCACTGACAGAAGGCTGTTGATAACGACTTTAAAATCTAATCATGACTGACTTGTTTTGGTCCGGTATAGTCACTGACAACCAATCAGGGATCGCCACGTCATCAAAACGACCAAAAAAGAATCTATGACGTCGGGGATTCCCCTTACGTCACTCGTGGAATGCCCATAGGCTTTTTATATACCCCAACAAACAATGAGTCATTGAAAATGATCCATTATTTGTTGAAAATTAGGCAGATAAAGTTGAGTCTTTATTTCATAATGAGTCAATGGGTAAGATACCTTGCGACAGGAGAAAAATGACGAAGCTTTCTTAAAAACTGACTATAGTAACTGTTACTTTGGACTCTTACTGTAAATACTTTCGTCATTATTGCAAACAGTCCATTTTTGATCATGCCAAATATCTCATCCCCTTCCTGTACTACCAGAGGGGTCAGGCCTTTACAATAGCGGAAATGGCTTATACATGTACTAACATCCTGTGTACTTAAAGGGCATGAATTAAGGGTTAATGACCCGCCCCGAGGTGAATATGGTGTGATAAAGCCTTGTCAGTTGCTATAACCACCTCATAAAGCCACCAAGTGTTCTTATGGGAGTCACTCGAGGTCATTGGAACACAACTCAAGTTATTTTTGGATTTTTTAGAAGAGAATCGTGTTCTATATGGGTCACCCGAGGTCATATGCGGGTGATTATTGGGTTGTTTAATGTATGGATTGGGATGAATAAATACCCGGTTTTGACTCTATTTCTGACATTACGGCGTCATAAGGAATGTGGAATGGAGCCATCTGATTGGTCAATGTCACCTGGCTATATGATAATGTACAATAAAGGTTATCAATCAATCAATCAATCAATCAATTAAATATATTGTGATGAGGGGTAGGTTTTTGTCTATGGTATGGGCAAAGCAGCCTTACCTATAAGAAATTCTAAATTTAGATTCAGGGATCATTTGACAATGTTAGGTCATATGTAGGCATTGCAACAAGGTAAATAATGGTGATGAAATCTATAGGTATAGGCAGGCACGTCCAATGAAAATGCTTGTTTCTCAATAAAACAATGCTTTGTGATGCCAGTCATAAATACAGTGATGCCTGTTATATTATTTGTTCCAATTGAGACCAAAATTGCACAAGTAGTCTGCATTACATAATAAGCCCCTTTATTCAATATTACACATCATTCAGTAGAAGCATGATAGCAACAATTATTGTGGTATTCAAACACACCATATAAATATATATAACACGAACAGTGACAACAGTGAGAGTTAGATAACGTAAAACTGCATGTATACTTTTCATGGCAGTGCAAGTCAGCATTTAACAATTAATTGATTCCCTGAAACAAAATGTGGTGTTCCCAAACCCAGAGAGTCTTGTGATGATATGAGAACAATGTATCCATACATAAAACAATTCTTTTATGTTCTTAAACTAGTTACCAGGAAACAGTTTGGCTTGGTCACTTCATGACAGATACTCTACTAAATCTATGACAGTCTATGTGAATAGTTTCATCTGGATGGTGACAGAATTGCAAAGACAGTATTGCCCTGCAGAATGCAATAGTCACCAAACTGCTGGCTAAGTATTAACTGTGGTTGAATACAAATAACTTTGCATTACTGTTTCTGCATTTGTATCCTAGGACAAGTCCAGCAAACCGTTATGTATGGTACTAGTACATACATGTCCCTACATTGTGACACCAATTCTACTTTGGAAAGACACCACATATTCACCATCTATAAAATTAAATATAACAGAAATGGACAGTAATTAGGAAAGCATATGACATGTGAATCTTGCCCAAGCATACTATATAAAATGCAGGGCTTCAAATGTGGCATTAAGCAAATGTTGGAACACAACAGATTTCAGACAACTTAATTTTACAGACATGGCTATTTTCCTCTAGGTTACAGCAGGTCTTACTGTCCCAGTTTACAAATTGTGCTGTTTTGTGCTGTTCCCTGGTCATCATATGCTGTTCAGTGTTGCTGTCCCAGTCAAGTTACACCCTGTAGAAACCAAGTATTTCCCTGAGACACAAAGTCATCAATTTGTGGTTGTTGTCAATTCTTCTTCAATCCTCTGGAAGGCACGTCAATGTACTTCTGTTATAATGCATTCTTTTGTGTAGCAATCCCATTCATATTACACCTTGATTTCCCTGAGGCCAAATGATGTGTCCCTGTCGCTCCGTCAATCTGTCGCTAGGCGGCGCCACTAGTACTGCAGTGGGGAGGGGGCGAGTTCTTTTACTTCTGAGCCGGCGGACCGTCCTCCCGGGGGCACGCACACCTCTCCTCGGGCGGGACGTCCTTCATCACCGCCTCCACGTGCTTGCCGCATCCCTTCCAGGTGGTCTTGTTGCACTTTGGACACTGGGCCTTGAAACACATTCTGGACGCGTTTCCTGGTGCTACAACAAATTATCGGGTATTTTTAACTCGCACAACAGGTTTTTGATACACTGCACCACACCCTCGAGCTCTTCGGCGCTAAATATAGACTGGAAAACAGTTTGAAGACGTTAGAAGGCACCACTGATGTACAAAGACGTCTTGAAGATGTGTAGACGTTTGCGAAGAGGAAGCAGTTGTCTATGAAAAATCTTCTTCGAGGACACCGCACCCGAGGGATTGTGGGAAGTCAACAGTACATACCACTGTCTGCATGGGGGTGCAAGAAGTAAGGATGTCACTGTGTCCTATACCCTAGCCTATCCCAAAGGCCGACAATATCTACAAGATTGAACACGAGCTGGTGTCCCGGGGACACTCACATCGCTCCTCGGGCGGGACGTCCTTCATCACCGACTCCACATGCAGCCCGCACCCCCTCCACGTCTTCTTCTTGCACTTGGAACACTCCACCTGATAGCACATCCTGGGTGGGTGTTGTCAACAATCGTCACCTGGCGATATAAATTCTTTTCAAACAATAACGCCCTTGTTACAAATTGTTGAACGTAGGGATTCTGTACTCCTTGCCTTGGGACAGGAGACGTCACAAAGCAGGCGTTGTACTGTAGAAGATTAAAGAGTTATAGCAGCAGTCTCGAATGAGACGAGAGGAGACACGCGCAGCCAAGATTCGACAGCTTTTCGACAGGTCAACAGGGTCAACGGAATATGCCACTGTCTACGCAGGGGGAGCTATGTCCCATCTTCATACTTATGCAATGATAATGTTAGAAACACATGCCCGTAGCCAGGATTTTGAATGGGGGGGTTCTTTCCACTGCTAGAGGGGACAGGGGCATGCTCCCCCGGGAAAATTTTGAAAAATGAACCTTCTAAAATGGCATTTCGTGCGTTTTTGAGAGGATTTCCAAGAAAAAATCAGAGATAAATTTTTATTCAATGACAAAGGGAGCAGTTTTTCTACGATTCCAGTCCATCTTTTCAAGAAAAATCTTGGACCTTTACATAAAAAGTGGACCTTTACATAAAAAGTGGACCAAAAAGTGGACCT